ATCAGCCCCGGGCCCGGCGAAAGGCGAAGATACTGCCCGCCAAACTGCCGCACCATACTGCGCGCCTTGTCCCCGGGACCTGCCAGTGCTGAGATGTCCTCTACAAGCGTGCGATCCCAGGGGCAAGCTGCTTCGCTGGGTCGGGCGCCCTCGCCCACGATCTGCCCAAGAGCGCCCCCCATTCGGCGACGCGTGCTCCAGGATTGCCCGCCCGCCTTTGACGCCGCATGATCTTCCTAGGTTCCAGTCCTATATCGACGGGGGCCATCTGCCAGCAACGATAATACTGCGCGTTGGAAATTGGTACCTTGTGCCCATCCTTCTCATAGGTAGCTCCTCCCCTCGTCGCCCTCCTCGCGTCGTGCATTCCTCTAGTCTATAATTCGTAAATCTGCACTGCGTTAGTATGAGCGCTTCTACTCCAGATGCCGCTGGCCCCAGGGCTCTGGACATGAACGCTGCTCGTTTTTGAACTAGTGGAATACTATGCTGATACCAATATCTGCCTAATTATGCTGCGAAACCCAACATCAATGGTTGAAAGTCGCGCGGGAAGCTCGCTGTTGAACGCGCAGTCAGAAAAGACCAGGCCACCTAGCATCCCTGCGAGGTCGCTGGGCACACTGTCAGCGGGCCAAAGCTCGGGGGCTGGGCGAGGGCCGGCAAATCCGCGGCCGCCAAAACGGTCTTCATGGAAGGAAAAAATCCCCTGATAAAGCTCAGCGCACTAAGTAATAGACGGGCTGCTTCCCGGAAAGAAGAAACATTTCCCCGAACTCCGTTTTAGCAGCCGCGGGTTTGCCAGCCTTCGCCTGGCCCCTCAAAAGCATCCGCCTACAGCGCGCGCGTCCAATCTGAGCCCCAGCGCCGAACGGCGCGAGCACAGTCTCCCTCTTGGAAGGTTTGAGGAGGCAGTTGCGGGCCAGGAGTCGCCCGGCCGCCCAGGGGGGGCCGTCGTCGGAGAGAGACTTGAGAATGAGCTTCGCGTGACTCTGTGTCGCGCCAGGCGCGGAAACAAATGCCATGGCAGCGTCATCGACGCACGCGCGAAACATAATGTCTAGCTCGATGGGATCCTCGCCCCCCTCGTCTGGCGGTAGGTCCACTAAGCGCCTGTCAGCTGCAACGCCTTCTCCTCCGATTAACTCGCCCTGGGCCCCTCGAAAAAGGCGTCGGCGCCCCGGGCGAAACCTCGGCGGCCCACGGGCCCCCCTGAAGTGCCCCCGCAAGAGGCCTGGCGAAGTAGAACTTGTCGGGGCCATGGGCGGCGACGGGCGCACGGGACCTCGGGCCCAGTGTTTCCGAACATGACCTCCCGGGGCTTCATGATGGCCTGGCTGGCCCAGAGGAGGTGGGTCAATTCGGCGCCGCCGAAGGCGTTGCTGATGCCCTTATGATCCCCGGCGCGCTGCAGGCAAGGCGTCTAGGGCGCCAGCTCAGGCTTTGCCGAATCATCGCTGGCGTCTCGCGCCTGCGGGTCGGCGCGCGGCCGCGGGCAAAAAAGAGGGGCCCTCGAACGCGCTGATCTGGGCGCAGCCCTGGAGCTACAAATGCCTCGCCAAAGGGGTAGAGCACGCGGGCCGGCCACTTGTCACTGATGGATGAGCCTCGCGATAGATGCCAAACGACTGGAGCAAGCCCGGGCCGACGCGCTCGATGCAAGAAAACATTCAAGAAGTACCTAGTCCATGCGCGGTCGACCTTGGGGCTCTCGCATCCGAGGCCCCTGAGGCGCCGGGAAATCCTTCGGCGGGTGCACAGGGGCGCCCAGAAGAGTTCTAGAGGGAGAGACCTTGGGAGCGCCGCGCGTCTTTAACTGGCCCCCCGGGGGGGAAATCTGGAGATCAACTGGAGCTTCTCGGCGGCCCCTTGGAGCCCACCCCTGGTGGGCGGGAAAAAAACTCCACCGCATCTGGACCAAACTCAGGATGGCACAAGAAATCCCCCGCCTCCTGTAACCAGTCGACGATAATAGCCTGGGGACTTCTCTCACTAGAGGGAAGCTGGAGATGAGCCCTGGGCCCCCCCCAGCAGGGGACCGCGCCAGCAACATACTTGCAGTTGCGCTTCTCGGGGCCCGTGCCCCCTGCCGATAGAAGCCGAGAGAGTCGAGCGACCTCAGATTTGCGGTCTTGCTGGCGTGCCTGAATAAGCTAATCGGGGACGTCCTGTCGCCACGGCACAAGGTATCTGCGTCATGCGTTGCGGAGCTCCTTCGTGGTGTCCTTGAGCTCCAGGGTGATGCTGGCGATGGTGTTGATGTGCACTGCTGAGCTCAGTGCTTCTCGGAGCTGTTGTTGTTGCTGGATGAGTAGCTCGACGTGATCAGCGCGCTGCTGGCGGCTCGCAGAAGGTGGTGGTCGTTTGGTGAAGTATGGGGCCCCTGCTTGGCTCAACACCTCCAGCAAATAGGCCCAATCCCGATTCGAAGCCTCTCGCTGAAACTGCTTCCTTTCGTCAATATCATTTAAAATGCGCTATTCAACCTGCTGAATAAATTCGAGTAGATTGGTCTGGTCCCTCGGCGTAGCCCGTCCATGATTGCATCTCTGTTCCATGTATTTTGAGGTTGTACGAGCTCGAGCCGGGGGTGATCCGAAACCGTCGTTGGTAGCCCCAGTGCGCGTGAGAAAAAGCAAGCCAGACGAGCGTGAACGGGAAGATGATCTCGCATTGTTGTGGTGGCGGTGGTCCGAAGAGAGCGTCCCATCCTGCGCAAAAGGCCCTGTCGTAATCGCCGGCTGGAGACCGCATCTAGGTACAATCATGAAGTCGAGCTGGCTGCCGTGTCCTTCAGTACTGAAGTAGGTCGGACCATAGCCGTGGTGTGTGCGTGTGTGTTGAGAACTGCTAAGCCGAACATCTCGAAGAACGGGACGAGGGCCTCCGCTGAATATCGCTGTCGAGCTGCATCATGGTGAGGCCCTATGTGCGCACTGGTAGTGGGTCGCCACAGTTCGGTATCTTCCAACTCGGTCAGCCCAAAGCCCGAGTTGAGATCCATGCAAGTGACCGGGAAACGCCAAAGTACAGCCCGGAAGGGAAGATACCTCAGTTCCTTAATAATGGCGTCGCAAATTTGGTAGTATGCCTTGAATTGACTGGCCTCGGATGGGGTCGGAGGGACAACATCTGAAACCATCGCAATCTCATACGGTTTACTGCGAGATCGGAGTGCGACACCTCGGCCAAGCACAGAAGAGACCCACGTCTGCACCACTGAACTGCGTTTACTGTCGGGCCGAGAATAAGAGCACAGCCACAGGATTTGTTACTGTGCGGTGAGCGAGCCCAGCCAGCATCAAGGCACCATCTAATGCCTGCTCTGCGCCACGTGGCCACGCCAACTGGGCCGTAGCGTTGCACACCCGTACCGTTGAGAAACGTACCATTTGTGTTCTCGGAGCCGGCGATGTCCTGCACGCGGTCGGAAGTGCTGGCGTACATGGGATTGAATTGGGTCATACTCAATGTGCGCTTGACCCTCCCCAGCGCCGTAGTCATAATGCGGATGGTCGAGGCTGCACTCGTCTCCGTGGGCCCTCAACTCTATCAAGTGAAAGTCCGAAGGGAGGCGCGCTGCCTCGACTGAACGAGCGCCAAAGAGGTAGCAGAGTGTGGGCTAAAGTAAGGTACAGTGTGGGGTTTGTGTCAGCCCTGCAGAGCCGACGGATAGGAGGAGGAGGGGGAGGAGGAGGGGGAGGGGGAGGGGGAGGGGGAGGAGGAGGAGGAGGAGGAGGAGGAGGAGGAGGAGGAGGAGGAGGAGGAGGAGGAGGAGGGAGGAGGAGGAGGAGGAGGAGGAGGAGGGGGAGGAGGAGGAGGAGGAGGAGGGGACGACGAGGAGGAGAGGGAGGGGGAGGAGGAGGAGGGGGAGGGCGAGGGGACGAGGAGGAGATAAGCGGTGTCGGCGGGTGCAGAGGCCAGAGGCCCCTCCTTTTCGTGCAGACCAGGCGCGGCCACGACCTGCATTGATCATTGGCAGCGGGGCCCGGCACGGCGCGGCGCGGCGAGCCGCGGCAGCAGGGCCACCGCTCCCGAGCCCGAGCCCGAGCCTTCGAAGTTCCGAGATGGTGGCTGGAGCGTTGGTGGCTGAGCCAGTGTTCAAACACAGTCTGGATCATCACAATATCGTTGTCGTTTTCTGATTCATTGTTTTGCAGATCGGCGCGGGACCTCGCACCCCCCCTCCCCATGCAAGGGATTTTGGCTTTTTTTGGCGCCGGTTTCAAGAAGGCAGAGTCTCCCCCGTAGGTCGCACTGCTGCAAGCAGTCGGATCAAACAGGGGTCTGGAGCCAGACCCCCCCTCCCCCCCTTCCGGCCAATGCCAGATGGTGGTTAGCGGGGCGGGGGTCCCGCGTGCACCGCCTGCAGAGCCAGCCAACAACCATGGACATCAGGACATAGTCGTTCGGCCTTCTTGTGCAGTCTCGTGCTACGGTCGGGAACTTTTGCTTAGCGTGTCGCCACGGCAGCCCCGGCGGCACGCTGCGCCCTGCAAATCGATGGCGTGTCGTTCCGCTCCGCGTGGCGGGGCGCTCGGAGTAAACTCGGGAGGCGGACGCCTGGAAATCGGGACGTGGCCAGCGTGTCGCGCCGAGGCGTGGAACTGGCGGCGCGACGAGCTAAGCCTCAGCCAACTCTCTCGATCGTAGGCCTGTTTTGCGGAAGCCAAAAGGCACCGATACGGCCAAGGTGCGTTCTGACCAGGATCTCGAGGCGAACGCAGCGGTGGCGACGAGGGCCTCCCAGGAGGCCCAGAGACGGGGGAGGCGGGCAGATGGTGAAGGGACGGGTACCTCTTCCTCCTCCGAGAGAAGGAGGATGAGGAGGAGGAGGAGGAGGAGGAGGAGGAGGAGGAGGAGGAGGAGGAGGAGGAGGAGGAGGGGAGGAGGAGGAGGAGGAGGAGGAGGAGGAGGAGGAGGAGGAGGAGGAGGAGGAGGAGGAGGAGGAGTCCTCCTCCGACACCTGGGTGGTGTCGCACTGGCCGCCGGGTCGGTGCCTCCGAGAGCCCGCGAGCCCGCGCCCGAGCAGCAGCAGAGCAGCCCGAGCGGGCGCCCGAGCACCCTCGCCCCCGCGGCGCCCTGTGGGCGAGGGCGGCCCGCCGGCGGCGCGTCTCCGTGGCGCGCCGCCGCGGGGAGGCCCGCCTCCCCTCCCCGCGGGTCGGAGGAGAGGAGCACCTGCCGTCCTCGCCCTCCTGTGGGACGCACAGAGAGAGAGAGAGAGAGATATATATATACTAATACTGTACGTTCTCCTCGGAGGCGCGCGTCCAAGCCGAGCGTACAGTAGGCCCATCTTGCAGCAGATCGTCTCCCGAGGGGTATGGCCAGAAAGCGCCCGCCACGACGCACATACTGTGAGATTTCTCGGTGCGCGCGCCGCCACTGGGGGGGCGACGCACATATATTGTAAGTGCGTTGGGGTGACGCCGATCCTGCCTCGACCTCGAGGGGCAGCACGAGCGACAGTCAGAAACGGGCCTCACGCGAAGTGGCACATCGACCCGACGCGGCGGCTTGCGCGGGCCGCCAGCGCGGAGCGCTGCATCGGAGACGGCGGCGCTTACGCGCGACCTTACGCGGCCAGCTTACGCGCCAATGCCCGGCAAAAAACGAGCCGAGCCGTTCATGTGCGTCGCTCGTCTGCCGTCCTTGCCCCGCTGCCTCGACCTCGCGGGGCAACATGGCGGTCGGGAGCTTCATCTGCTCCACGTGCTTCGGCGGAGCCCCCGGCGACAAGCTGTGCCATATGCGAGCGGATGGCGTGCCGCCCCGCTTCGCCAGGTGGGAAGCATGGCAAGACTCGGCACGTGGACGCCTTGGGACCGCGAAGCGGATGGCGTGTCACACCGAGGCGTGGTTTGCCAGAACCGGCGGCGCGACACGCCAAGCCAACAGTGCCCCACCGTGGGGGGGGGGACTGGCTCAGAGAGGGGAGACAGCGACCTGGAGTCGGCGGTACATCGCCGATACATCGGCGATTGGTCCCCGACGGCAAATCCGCCTGGCCCTGGGCAGGGTGGGTCATCGGGCCCCGATCGGGGATGGATGGGCAATCGGGGGTCGACGCAATCCCCCGTGAGCCTATCCCCCCGTTACGTTGCCTCCCTCGATCTCTGCCTCCCTCGATCTCCTCCTGGTTCTCCTCCTTCCTCGATCTCCGCCTCCCTCGTTCTTTTCCACTGGCCTCTGAGCGTCGGGGCGCGCCGCGCTCTGGTGGTATGGAGAAGCGTGAAGGCGCAGAGAACGAAACCGGCTTGGGCGCTGCGGCCTACAAACTGGACGAATGTGTCAAGCCAATCTGACCAGGCCACCCCAGGCCAATCTGTTCAGGGCATCTCCGAACCCAGAGTTGCGAGGACGTCTCTGGCGAAACAGGCAAGGCTACTCCCGATGTTGATGGATGTCTCTGAGCGCCGGCCCCTTGGCCAGAACTAGCTTCTACCGCAACAGGACCCCAGTCAGCACAGCTGTTTCGGGAAGCGCGGTAAGGGAGGGTGTGCGAACGGGAGCGGAAGCGGGACACGAGAGACGAGAAACAGACAGGAGCGGAATGGGGAAAAGAGGCGACAATTCCAGCTAGGCTTCCCTGGTTGTGCCATGTTTTTGATAGTATGTATGATAATGATATGTGCACGTGCCGGCAAGACAACGCGGCCGGGAAAACCCTTTGGACAACACCGCAAAAGATCTGGACAGCCCCCCCTGGACCACCCCCTTGGACAAGCCTCCCGAGGATTTTTTCCCATAAGATATATTCGACACATGCGTCCTCCTCCTCAGCCTTCTCCTCATCTGCGTCCCCTTCCTCCTCCTCCTCCTCCTCCTCCTCCACCGCCTCATCCTCCTCCTTCTTTTCCTCCGCCTCCTTCTCCTCTGCGCCAGCGGGGCGGTCAGGGACGGGGGGGGGGCAACGAATCAGCCCACGTCGTAAGCTGACGTTCCGCGCGCCTCCGGGCATTGGCGGCGCCCATGGAACTATATCGAGGACAGGGCCCGGCGGCGAGGGCGAAGCAAGCGGCCCACAGCAGAGCTCGTAATCCACCTCCTTCCCCCAGTGAGATCACCGCTGGGGGTGCTGAGGAGATAGGCGATTAGACGTGGAGGCTACGGTGCGCTATATCTGGCCTGACCTAGCTCCTAAGTGGGTTACACGTACCCTGAAGAGAGTTTAGGGTGATTAGATGACTCCGCGAATTGGGCTCCGCCCACTTAGGCCAGATCTGCCCCGTCCCGCCCCCCTCAAACCACTTTCACAGGGCCCTTGCGCCCCACATTTAAGCTAGGTTAGGCCAGATTGTGAACATGCACTTCTAGCCTCCCTACGGACAGACACTTTTGGATAGCGTGTCGCGGTGGCGGCTCCGGAGACACGCTATGCCATGCGAAGGGATAGCGTGTCGCTCCACTCCGCGGGGCAGGAGGCTCGGAAAAGCTTGCGACGTTGGCGCCTGGGGGCCCGGAAATGGATAGCGTGTCGCGCCGCAGCGCGGTGGGCCAGAACGGGCGGCGCGACACACTAAGTCAAATTCCTGACCGTATCCCCTCAACTACCAACCCTAGCGTTAGGTCGGGCATGTCCCCCTACAGGGGGACTTTAGCCGAAAAATCGAATTATCCTGGCGAAGGACCCAACCATATGCAGTTGTGGGTAACGCAATTGTGAATACCTTCTTCGGTGAAGCTCCCCATGGGGCCACGAAGCGCTGCGCTGGGTGGGGGGGAACGCTGTACTGGGTGGGTGGTGTGCCAAAATGGGCTTCTGGGACGCATGCGGGCGGTAGCACCAGGGCCTTCGGTGGAGCTCCCTATGGGGCCACGAAGCGCTGTATCTCCGGGACGCATGCGGACGGTCACACTGGGGGCTTCGGTGGAGCTCCCTATGGGAACACGAATCGCTGTACTGGGTGGGTGAAAATTCTAAAGTGGGTTTCCGGGACGCATGCGGACGGTCCCACTGGGGGCTTCGGTGGGGCTCCCTATGGGGCCACGAAACGTTGTACTGGGTGGGTGAAACGCAGGGAGGAGGGGGAGGAGGGCCACGAAACGTTGTACTGGATGGGGGAACGCCTGCGGGCGGTAGCACTGGGAGCTTCGGTGGGGCTCCTCATGGGGCCACGAAACGCTGTACTAGGTGGGTGAAACGAAGGGAGGAGGGGAAGGAGGGCCACGAAACGCTGTACTGGGTGGGGGGACGCATGCGGACGGTAGACCTGGAACATTCGGTGGAGCTCCCTATGGGGCCACGAAGCGTTGTACTGGGTGGGTGAAACGCAAAAAGGGGGAGGAGGGAGGAGGAGGGAGGAGGAGGGAGGAGGAGGGAGGGGAGGAGGAGAGGAGAGGAGAGGAGAGGAGGAACACGGGCACCGTCTCTTCAAAACGAGGACCCAACACCACAGGATGGTTGGGAACAGTAACCAAAAACTATGTATGACAAATGCTCGAAATCGAACATTCCTCCTGTAGAGGGACAGGCCCGACTTCACCTCAGCGGTGACCGCAGCAATCCCCCTCCATTTCGTCCTCCCCGGCTCCCCGGGCCGCCTCGGCGCCCGCGGGGCGCCGCCGCCGCGGTCACAGACCCGGACCTCCAACGAGATGCTCTCTCTCTCTCTCTCTCCAATCGCGGCGTCTTCTCCCCTCCTTCCGGCCTCTGGGGGGCGCCGCTGTCGGGCTCTGCAGGGCCATGGGGCCCCAGAAGAGCATTCGCTAGCAGGGAAGGGTGGATCCGGGGCGCAGAACAATCCCAGGGGGGAAGGGGTTCGGGAGCTCCAGGGCCGCAGATAGATCAACATCATGGCGCAGGGCTTTCGGCATGGCAGACATCCGACGATGTGTTTTCCCAACCCGCGGCTGCAGGGACAACAGCCCCTTCTTTCCTTGGGGGCGCGCTTCCGTCCTGGATCTGATTTTGATGGCCGGCGGGTTCCAGGACTGGCCCACATACAAGGTCGAGAAGAAAGAGAAAACGCTGGGACTGAAAAACAAGAAACATCTGTCCTGATGGTGCCGTTGCGTCCCAGAGAAAACCGCCCGGAGTGAAGGATCACACAACATTTGACCAAAAACCTTCCCCATGGTGCCCGTCCGTCCTAGATAAGGTTTTGTGGCCCGCGGGCCCCGAAAACGGCCCCCTGCAAGGCCGAAGTGGCAAAGAAAACGCCCAGATTGCACATCAGCATAATCATTCGAAGGTCCGCGCGGATTCCTTATCGGCGCTGATCCAAGAAATGTGCGCGGAGCTTCGAAAGCTTATGATTATGCCATGATGTTGCTCCTCGATAAATGCGGGGGTCCCAGAAGTCCCGACCATGTCCCCAAGGCCCCAGGGCCCGTTTGTCATCGTGAGCCCGTATTTGATAGTCCCAGGGCCGGACAAGGGCCCCCAGGAGCCCGTAAACTACCAATCACTGCCGCCTGGTGTTTCTCCATACGTTGCGTGTTTGCGCTTGACACAGAGCACCTCGCCAGAGATCCGCTGAGGCGCGCGCGCGACGCGCCAAGCGCGGACCTCCCGCCGCCTCTGCTCGCCGCGCCCGCCTAGAGGCTCGTTATCTTGCCGCCGCCGGGCCCGCCGCGCTCCCCGCCGCTCGAGGCGTGGCCGAGCGCCATGCGCTGGAGCTTCTCCTTCAGCTCGGCGTACCTGCCGGCGGGCCTCGGACACTCCACCTGTCTGCAGCCAGCCCGTGTCACGAGGACGCGCCATAAGGATGCGAGGGCCTCTGGAGGCCGTGTCGACAGTTTGCGAGCGGGATGCGGCCAGCGAGCGCGGCCAAGGATGGACCGAGGAGGCAGGGATGCAAGGTACCCTTGGGGAAATTGCCCATCCCTGCTATGCGGGCTGACTGTATCGAGGTGGCCGACGCCGGACTTGTGCCTGCAAGACTGGTCGGGAGAGGGGAGGGCGGTCGTGGGGGGCGGCCGGCCAGCCTCAGATAGCCAGGAGGTCGGATATCGTGGTGGATGACCAGGGGGGAGGGGCCCTCCCAGGGGCAACGAGCACCAGGGGGGGTGCTGGCGCCGGGAGGGTAACGTCGAGCTGGATTCGGCGACGCAGTGCGGATAGATCGGCGGAAGCCTTGCGATAGCGAATCTGGACGTTCCTGGTCGGGGTGGGCTATAAGACCCCTATCTGCGATGAATGGGCAATCGGGTGTCGATGCAGAGCCTATCCCCCACATTGCCCAGGAAGCCTCCCCTGGGCGCACAGGTCCGGACCGGGGCTCGAATCGGATGCAGCCAAGGCAACGAGGCCCACGGAGGCCCCCCATAGTAAAAATTCGCCGGCCCAACGGGCCAGGGCGTGCTAAGATCTCCGGTAACTGGTTAACAGTATTAACAGTATTTCTAGTTCGCGCGCGCGGGGCGGCCCCTGGGGGTCCCCCGGCGAAAAGCACCCCGACCAACGCCCGACCGCCGCCCGACCGCCGCCCGACCGCCGCCCGACCACCGCCCGACCAAGTCTACTCAGAGATGGTTTTCCTTCTGGGTGCGGCCTCTCAGGCTCCCCAGAGCGCGCTCAGAGTGCCCCAAGAGGCCCCCAAGACTGCCCAAGAGGCCCCCGAGACGCCCAAAGAGCGCTCGAAGACGCCGAAGATGACCCCAAGACGGCCCAAAAGGCCCCCAAGACAGCCCAAGAGGCCTCCAAGACGCCCCAAGAGCCTTCCAAGAGGCCTCCGAAGAGAGCCCCAAGAGGCCAAAATCGTTGATTTTCATTGGTTTTTTCGATGTTTTTTGTGTTCTGGCTTTTTCGGCTTCCGGACGCTCCAAGACGGCCCAAGAGGCCCCCAAGACCGCTCCAAGACGGCCCACGAAGCTCCCAAGACGGCGCCGAAACGACCCAAGAGAGCCCTCAAGACGGCCCAAGTGCCGCCCAAGACGGACCAAGAGGCCCAAGACGGGCCCAAGAGGGACTCAGGAGGGATACCGAGAACTCAAAAATGGAGCCCTCGTCCCAGAAGGCGCCCAGGAGGTCCCAAAGAGGCCCCAAGAGGCCTCCAAGAGGCCCCAAGATGTCGCCAAGAGGCCCCAGGAGACTCCCAGGAGGCCCAAAAGAAGCCCCAGAAGGCTTCAAACATGTCTCCCAGGCGCCCCCGAACGGCCTCTCAACAGACCCCAAGAGGCCCCCCAAAGAAGCATCTTGACGACGACTCTATTTCGCCCCATCGAGAGACGACCCCCAGGGAACTGCTTCACCATCAAAACTCCCCACGCAACGCGTCCGAACGACACCCGCCCCCAAGAGCGCAACATGGGCAACGAACACACAGACAAAAACCAGCGATGCCATATCACGGGCCGGCGGAATGAGCGAAGCGATTCAATAACTCCTGTAAGCCCGGCCCTCGGATGCTTGCTGTCTTTAGCCACAGGGTGGATCCTCGGAGATCCCGACTCCTTCCCCAGAGCCGTGTTTTCGTCCCTGGTCGTTTCTGTCACGGCCACCGGGCCAGCAATACGGGCCCACAAAGGCCGAAAATGGTCGAAAACCTTCCGTCGCGACTCTAGCCGCCACCCTGAGATCCGAGGTAGCGCGGAAGTTTTGTCACCTCGTGGAACATCGCGGGACCACAGCCCCGAAAGCCGCGTGTTGGAACCGGCTCGACCTGCGAGGGCCCCCAGGCCCGAAACCGGGCGAGCACGCCGCGCTCGAAAAACAGACACGACCTGCGAGGGCCCCTAGGCCCGAAACCGGGCGAGCACGCCGCGTTCGAAAAACAGACACGCCAAGCTGTCAAGGAAAACGATGGGTCCTGCAGGGCCAGGAGCAGGGGGGTGATGAGCCTGTTTTCCACCACCACCACCACCATAAGTTGGATGGGGGGAAGGAGGAGGACGAGGAGGAGGACGAGGAGGAGGAAGAAGAGGAGGAGGAGGAGGAGGAGAACGAGGAGGAGGAGGAGGACGACGAAGAGGAGGACACCCTCCCCCTCCAACTTATGGTGGTGGTGGAAAAATAGGCCCATCAGAGGGGGGGCACCTCATCGCCCCCACGTCGACGGCGGCCGCGGCCTCAGAACCAGGTCCGCCGCCGGTGCCGCCGCCCTGCTCCGCCGCGCCGGCCGGGTCGCAGGGGCGGCTTTCGCCTGACTGGGGGGGCGGGGTGCTGCAGGGGGAGGCGACCGACCAGCCACAACTGGGGGAGCTGTGGTCCTTACCCCCCTGGGGGAACCCATCGCGTCGACCATCGCCCCGTAAAAACCAAGGCGGAACCGCTTCCCAACTTCAGGCCCTGACCGGGCCCCAGGAGACCATCACGAAGCCGGGATTTCAAAACAGAAAACACAAACGGCCCAGGGGAAAGCGTCGGGACTCTGGGGACCACGCATGGACAGAAACCACGACATCGCATGACAATGATTGGGGGGGTACGCTGGGGCAGGGGGGGCAATATCAATGGCACGCCGCCGCGGGAAGCCCATCAACGCGTCACTGCACGTCGAACACACGCCAGGCGTTCGGAAGAAAAACCAGGGAGTCGCACGCTGACGCCTAACGGCGGCGTGTCGTTGACACTCCCTTTTCCCACCGGAGCGGGGGGACGGCAACGAGGGCAACGGAGGGTGGGCCGCCGCCTACCCTCGTGATGGACTGAAGCCACGGCGGGCGGCAAAGTTTGCCATCGTTTGCAGCCTCCGGGAGCCCTCGCCGGGCCCCGCGGCCGTCAACAAAGCAGCGCGGGAGCGTAAGGAAGGGGAACAGGAAGGCGGAGGATATGATGAAAGAGGGAGACGGGCAGGAGTCAGGGCGATGAGGAAGAGGGTGAGCTGTAGGGCGGAGGACCAGGAGGAGGGAGAGAGAGAGACTCATGGGGACTGGGGAAGGCGAGGAAGAGAGGGGGAACGAGGATTCTGCTGGACTCTGCTGGCGTGACCCCCGAAGCTGCGAGAGACACAGAGTGCCGGCGAACAAGTCCGCCCCTGACCCCAGGCACTTCCTGCGCGACCAGGCTTGATCTTCCGAATTGCAGCTGGTGGCGCGGAGTCCAACTATTTCTTCCCCGTGCCGAATCTCTCTCGTGGCGATGAAGGCCCAGCCGTGGCGACGAGAAGCGACGGACGCGGGGGATGGGCCCCCCCAGGCGGTAGGCCTGTGTGTCGAACCTCGTCCTTCGGCAACATAGCCCTGTGCGGCGGCCTGCGGGGCGCCCTGGCGCACGCCGCTGCCTACTGGCCTCCTTGGACAAAGTTGCCATTTCGAACGCGCTGACCCCAGCACTAAACCTGATGACGTTTGCACGTGCGCTGTCTTTTGCACGCAGTGCCAAGCCCGCTGCCACCGCTTGCGCTTCTCGCAGTGCCAGCTCCTGCTGCCATTGCCTGTCCTTCTCGCGCGCGCTGAACCCAGCGGCGCTGTAGCTGATAAGGTGTTCTTGCTGCGCCGGCGGGCATCGACAACCACAGCTGCCAGCTGCCACCTCCAGCTTTCTCGCACCGACAGACACTGCTGCCACTGCCTGCTTTCTGGCACTGCCAGCCCCTGCTACCACTGCTCTCTTGCACGGGCTGGCTCCAGCAGCCTTGTAGCTGATTAAATATCCTTGCCCCGCCACGTGGCACCGACAACCGCTGCTGCCACTGCCTGCCTTCTCGCACTGACCGCCCTTGCAGCCACTGCCCGCCATCTCACACGATCCTACCCCAGCTGCTCTGTAGCTGAGGGGGTTGCTCCTGCGAGGCCGCTTGACAGTGCCAGCCGCTGCTGCCACTGCTTGCCTTCGCGCACCGACTGACCCTGCTGCCAACGCGTGCCTTCCCGCACGAGCTGACCCCCACTGCAATGTAGCTGAAATTGTTGCTCCCGCGCGGGCACTTAGCACCGACAACCGCTGCTGCCACTCCCTGCCTTCTCGCGCCGACAGACCATGCAACCACTGCCCGCCTTCTCGCACGAGCTGACACACGCTGTCATGTGGCTGAAGATGCTGCTCCTGCGTGGCTGCACTTTCGCCTTCTAGCATTGGCCGTCCCTGCTGCCACTCCCTACTTTCTCGAACTGTTCCTCGGTTCGGGCTCTCCCGCACGAGCTGGCCCCAGCACTGTTGCTGATGACGCTGGCTCGCGCGTTCTCGCCGCACGGACCGCTCCCAGCACTGTAGCTGATGACATTGCTGATCTTGTCTGGCCCATGATCGTCTGCTCCCGCACGCACCACTACCAGCATTGTAGCTGTTACTGCGCTGCTCCAGCTTCATCATACTTGTCTGAAATTTGGTAGCGGCGCCGCAACTGGCGCCACTGCTCGCCGAGGGGTGGAGGACGGGCGGGGGGAGGGGAGAAACGAGGAAAGGACGGAGTTTGTCACGTCTCGTGGCTGGCGCGCACTCGCCTGATCTCAGCATTGTAACTGATGACGTGGGGCGCCACGCTTTGCGATGTCGGCTCTCGCGAGCAAGGCCGTTTCAAAGTTTGCCCGCGAAGCTCCCTTCTGTACCCCGTGCATCGAGCGCGAAATGGCTTGAGCCAACATAGCTACGGAGGGGGGGACTTGGAGGAGGAGGAAGTGGAAGAGGAGGAGGAGGAGAAGGAGGAGGCACCGCAGGAGGAGCCGACATGGACAACCCCGACCTCGAAGACGAAGTAAACAACGACCTCGACGACGACGACGACGCTAGAGGAACAAACACAAACTTCATAAGCACAACTTCTCAAAGGCCCGCGCTGGAGCCCCCTCCCTGGCGCGCGGAGCGCGCGGAGGCCCAGCGCAGATCCGAGAAATCTCCTCGGACCTCCGAGAAGATATGCTTATGCGGGGCAACGATATGAGGGGACTGGCACAGGGGGATGCATCGACCTGGAATCGGCGATACATCGTCGCTGGATCGGCGACGTGCCCCCGCCAGCGAAGCCGCACCTTCCTGGGCGGGTTGAGGCTATCGGGCCCCCGTCACCGTGCAATGGGCGATTGGGGGTCGATGCATCCCCCCTTGTCCCAGGACCTCCGACGCCAATCTTTTCACACCGTCGATCCCCCAGAGGTCTGGACCCTTTCTCCATGACTGGCGTTTCGTCCTGAGTCGCTGTTTGACGCTCCCGAGGCCCGGCAGGGGCCCCCAAAGGCCGAAACTGGCGAGAAACCTTCCGACGTGATCTCTTCGTGACTCGAGGGGGTCTGGGATGACCCTTCCCCCTATAGTCGCTCCTGTCTCTGTTGGCGGCGCGCACAAAGGGGTGGAGGGAGGGGGGAGGGCTTCTTAGAAGCAGGGGGGCTTCTAAGAAGCCCTCCCCCCTCCCTGCACCCCCCTCTGCACTCTGCTCCTCGAGACGCAGGCGACGACGCCCAACAACAACTGTTGTCCCTAACCAATAGCGGCCGCTGTTGGACAGGCAGCCTTCTGTCTCAAATGGACACAGGCGGCGGCGGCGCGGACAGCGAGTCCTGTTCAAAATGAGCAGCAACTGCTGATGGGCATAGTACCCATTCTTTCCGTACCCATTTCGTTCGTGCCCATCTGCTCCTCGAGACGCAGACGACGACGAAGCCCGGCGCCTGCGTCGCCCTCCGCCGCGCAGCCGCCGCGCGCGGCGCCGGGCGGCTCGGCGCGGGGCCCGCTGGGCGGCAGGGGCGCGAAGTGGAAGGGCCCGCGCGGGCGGAAGGGCGGCGCCGCCAGGCCTCGGGGAGCCAAGCTGGTCGGGGGGAACGAGAGTAGACGAGCGCGTTCCACTACTCGCAAAGTAAAAACTTGCAAGTGGCCTGGATCCCCCGCGGGGGATCTACGATAAACTACATCAAAGAAGACATGTTGTTGTGTCTGACAATTGCGAGCAGGCACGTTGCGAGTAGTGGAACGCGCTCGGTGAGAAAGGGGGGGATAGCAAAGGGCAGGGTAGAGAGTCAGCTCACGCAGCTGAGTTTGCCAGCGCCTCCCGGCGCCTCCCGGCGCTCCCGGCGCAGGGAGGCGTCCACGTATATTGAGGAATGGGCCCGGCGGCGGGGCCGAAACCAGCTGCACGCAGCAGATTTCGTGCCCCCCCTTTCCTTATCCATCCCCTTTCGTTCGGCCCGAGCAGTGCTCTCATGCCGGCTGCGCGCCAGGGCGGGGGAAGCGAGAGATCGGCTGCACTCAGCCCATACCGCCTCGAGTCATCGAACAATCACGGCGGGAGGTTTTTCGCTCTCTTCGGCCCCTGGGGGCACCTGCCGGGCCTCGGGAGCATCAAACAACAACTCGGGACGAAAAGCCGGTCATGGGGAAAGGGTCCAGACCTCTGGGGGTCGACGGTGTAAAAAAATCATGGCGTTGGGGGTCTGGGACTACACGCAAGAGGGACCCTGGGTAAGAGTGTTCTTTGGTGCGCAACTTCTTGGGGGGGCCGCGGGAGATCCCGTCGCGACCGAAATTCGGCGCGACCGAGATCCGTTATACCGAAAATGTCTGGTCGCGGATGATCAGGATCAGGGTACGTCGCATCTTCGGGGGGCCTTGCCTGTCCTCGGAGCTGACGTTTTCCCTTGTGGCCGACGCGGGTTTGATGCGGATTCGACGCGGATCTGACGTGGGTTCGACGCGGATTACACCTTGTTTCGACGTCGTGGGGTCGACGAGGTTGACATGGAGTCGACACGGACAGCGGCGGGACGTACGAGGTCCCCCGAAGACGCGACAAATTCAGAAAGGTCGCGCACCTCCTGACCCGGGTCAACTCAAACCCTGGTCCGTCGGGCTTTACAGGATCCTGTGCGCTACAGTAGGAGCTCGACCAGAAGAAACCTTCCACCAGAAACCAAATCCTGAGACCCCAGGACGTCCATTGATTCTTGGGGTGGGAACGTCGCGCTTTCCATCGCAAAACCATCGAAACCCGAGAAACCCAGGACACCCTGGAGGCAAGCAAGGTGCTTCTCGGCATGGGTTTCCACTGTGTAGCCAACGTCGGTGCACCCCTGGCTCTGCAGGATCCTTCAAGCTCCGGCGCTCTGGCCGACCCCCGTTGGCATTGATCCCCGCTTCTCGAGTAGAGGCCTCCAAGATGGGGTCCGAGTAGATGGGGGCGGAGGATGGCGCCGCATCGGTGATGCATGGGCGATGCATCGCCGATGCGTCGGCGACGTCGGCGTTGCATCGGCAACGTCGGCGTGGAGGAAATCGGGCTCCGCATCGAGCCGTATCGGCGATGCATCGGCGATGCGGCGCGATCCTCCGATCCCATTTACTTGGACCCCATCTGGGAGGCCTAGACCACTGGAACCCAGGTCAGTGCACCCCTGGCTCTGCAGGATCCTGCAAGCTCCGGCGCTCTGGCCGACCTCCGTTGGCACTGACCCCCGCCCCCAGACCCCCCCGACGTCGTGATTTTTGTTCCAACGTCGACCCCCAACCCCCAGAGGCCTGGTTCCGTTCCCCCAGACCGGTTTTTTCATCTTGGGTCTGGGATTAGGTCGGGCTTGTCCTGGGATTAGGCCTGGGATTAGGTCGGGCGTGTCTTCCTACAGCCAGATCTTAGACGAAACAAAAAAAATAGTCAAAACATGTTCAAACACATGACAACATACTTTCAAAAACTCGTCCCCAGACGAGTTCTTGACCATTCTTGAATACTCCTCCTGTAAATCGATGCGCCCGACTGGAGCCTGCAGAAGGGCCCCCCGGAGGCCGAAACGAGGGAGTAAGCCTCCCGACACGTGACTTTCTCACAGCGCGAAGGGGCCTGGGCCTCTCGAGCCCCAAGAGACGGGGGGGGGGGGGCAGGGAGGGGGCGCGCCGGTGCCCGCGCCGGGCCTCGGGGGTGCACCGCCGCGGCGGCGAAGGCCAGCACGCCCAGCGCCGCGGGGCTCCCCGCCTCCGGACGTACCCGGCGCCGCGAGCTGTTTCTGTTCGAGGCGCGGGCCCCCAGGCAAGAGTGGCCCTGTACTCTGGGTTCCTTAATCAGCGTGGTAGGGTACCCCCCGACGGGGGTCCACCTCGCCTCGTCGTCGTGCCGCGGCCGGGGTCGGAGCGCAGTCGGCGCGCGGTGGCTGCCCACGACGGGGGTCGGTGTGGGGCTGTCGGCGGGGGTGACGCCCCCCCGACGCATGTTAAGAAACTCGGAGTAGGCAAGTTCGGCAAGTTCGGTGGCAACTCATGAGGGCCTCCCATACTCTTTTGTCGGCTCTTGCGAACCGACCTCCATCGACGCTGGATCGACGCCAAATCCACGCGGATCGATGCTAGCCGGCGCCGATCGACACCAGCTCGACGCTCATCGCCAGGAGCCGACGCTGAATCGGCGCTATCCCATCCGCGACAAGACGCTACATTTGACGCCAGTCGGCGCTGACCACAGAACTGCGAGGGCATGCAAGGTTCCCATGGCCTGCCACCGATGAAGGCAAGAGTGGCCCCTGGGTGCGCGGCCCTGCGCGGGGCGCGGAGGGGCCAGACCACAGCACGCAAGCCACTGCTACTTACATCGCAGCGCTCTCAACGATCGGGGAGCCCCGGTGGGCCCGCGCCGAGGGCCACTCTGGCGAAGGGTCACTCCCCTGAGACCCCACGCGGCACCAAGAAATTGCAACGTCGCCACAAAAAACGCGACGGGACCCCTGGACCCCGTCTTCCTGCATCATTTTCCAAGCTGGATCGATCTGGAAAGGTCCCAGGGCCCTCTGGGAGGGCCCCGGGGCCCGAAAGGGAGCGACAACGCCCGCCTCGAGAGAAACGGAGCCGGCAGGTTCCTCTCAGGGCCTCGGCCACTCCCCCGGGGCCGGCTGCTCCCCCCGAGTCGCTGCTCCACGCTCTCGGGACCCAGTACAGGGGGCCCCGAGAGGTATTGGGGCCCGTATGCCGGGCCCGCGTCGCTGTTCGGCGCCCCGAGTCGTTGCTTGACGCTGCCGAGGCTCGGAGGTTGTTCCTCGTGTTCGACCCAGGTCGGAGGCGAGGAGGAACCTCCGCCTCGCTTTTTTCGAGACGCCGGCTGTGTAGAAGAAGGAAAAGCGCTATAAACTCAAAGTGTTGGCGCTCCGCGCGGATTTCTTGGAGCTGCGCTGGGCCCCCTTCCCTGGCGCGCCAGGTAGCGGCGCCGGAGGCGCCGCCGGGGGGGGCCCAGCGCGGTCCCAAGAAATACGCGCGGAGCGCCAGGAGCTTATGTTCATGGCGTTTTTTCTTCCTCGAGTCTAGGCCCTCGCCTTAGGTCGGGCATGTCCCCCTACAAGCGGATTCGGGACGAAAAATAAAAAATAGTCGAAACATCATCAAACATAGATACTAAAAAATACAAGAAAATCGTCCCCAGACTATTTTTAAACATATTGTTGTATATTCCTCCTGTAGAGTGACAGGCCGAACTCAACCCGAGCCGCCGCGACAGGCGGCGACGCGGCGCGGGGGCGCGCCGGCGGGGCCGCCCACCGGCCGGCCGCGGCGGCCCGCGCGGGCGTGGGCACACGCGACGGCAGGGGCGCCGCGGCGGGCGGCTGCTTCGCGGGCCGCGGCGGCGGCCCCGGGGCGCGCGGCGTCAGCAGCTGCGACCCTGGGCCTCGGGGGGGATGGGACGGGCTGCCTACCCTTGGCTGGATTCAGCAGGGGGTCGCGGGTTGACCCTTCGCCACAAAAAGCGGGAGGGGAAGGAGGAGCACGAGGAGCGACGAGGAGGCAGAGGACGCCGAGGAGGAGGAGAACGAGGGCGAGGAGGAGGAGGACGAGGAGGACGAGGACGACGAGGAGGCTTGGGGTGGTCTGGCAACCAGACCACCCCAGCCATCCCGAAGACCCGGCTTTCGGACTGGGCTGAAGGAGGGGATGGGGGGGGAATGTCCTCCGACGCCCCCCCCCGCTGGGCATGGAGGGCCACTTGGGTGCCCTCGGGGTGGGTTGGGGTTGGTTGGGTGGGTGGTGGGGGATGGGGAACGGCTCCTTGCACCAAGTCATCGATCAATATCCGAGGACTTCCGATAACGCTCTGGGCGCACCACCATCAAACCGAAATCCGGCCTATACTCGCGAATTCCGGCAACGAGCGAGCAATCGTCGTTGGACCCTCGCACGCGCCGTCTCTTCGTGACCAAGATTCGGTCCCCCTCCGGTCGGAACCGAAATTTGGTGCGACATGAATCGGTTATCGAACACATATATGGTCTCGGAAGATATGGGTGGAGATGACCGGGAGGGGGATTTTCAGGGCCCAAGCCCCAGCGCGTCGCGAGTTTTCCCACCACTTCTGCCCTCCAGGTCCCACGGATCGAACACATCAGGACGTTGGAGGTCGTGCGGGAGGGAGCCCTGAGGATGTAAACGTCACACTAGCCCGCCCGCATGTCGGGGAGCATGCGATCGCCCTGCGATTGCTCACTTTTCTCGTGGGTGGCCCTCTCGGGCGCCTTGCGCGTGAGATTCTGAGATCTGGGATGCAGCCTTCGCGGCTGCTTGTGGGGCATGAGCTCTGTGCCCACACCCCACGGTTTTCTCCAAGGCCGCGCCAACGGCGTGCTTGGTTAACGGTGCGGTTGGCAATCTTGTTTTTGTGACACCGAGCTCACGCAGAACAAAATGTAGGAAATCACGCAACACCGCTTCCTACATTTCAAATATGCGAATGTATCGAACGACAACGACACAGCGAGTTGTAGGAACACACGAGCCACGCGATCCTTCAGATGGTTTGACCACGAACCACGCCTTCCTACAGTTGAATATCCTACCTCGCCGTCGTTAGCCAACACGCCGTTAGCGCGTCTACGGTTTCTCGACTGGTTTTATGTTGTTCCCACGGCACTTCAGGACCACATCCCAGAAACAATTTCGAGCACCCGGGGAAAAATATCGAAAGAGTGTCGAAACAGTGTCGAAGCAGTGTCGGACGAGTGTCTCCCAGGGCCCGACACGTGAAATCCCTCGAGTTCGATACTTTTCTGGTGCTCGAAATTATTACTTGTGGTCAAGGCTACAGTAGGTTGGAACATCCTAAGACTGGTTCACTGGAGGCGTGGCTCGCCACCCCGAGGTGGCTGCAGCAGTGACACGGGGCGGTGCCAGGACAGCTGCGCTGATGCGCCTGTTTTCCACCACCACCACCATAAGTTGGATGGGACGAGGAGGAGCAGGACGAGGAGGAGGACGAAGAGCAAGAGGAGGAGGAGGAGGAGGAAGACCCCCTCCTCCTCCAACTTATGGTATGGTGGTGGAGAACAGGCCCATCATGCGCGGCCGGGCACAGGACGGGAGGCCCCGTCCCCGGCGGAGAGGGACAACGCGGGGCGCAGACCATGTCCCAGCGACTGCTCGCGGGCGTTGCTGCTGCAGCTGTTTCCCCAACAGCCGCTTCGCTCTTTGCGTCGAGGGGCCACCCTGCAGAGGGGAGAAATGCGCCCCATGCCAGCAGAAAAGGTTGTGTTGAAGCGGGTAACATCTTCCTCTCCCTCGGCTCCTCTCCGTCTCTCCCTTCCCCCCCTCATCCATCCTCCACCAGCCCTTCGCGATTCTCGCATCATGGCTCCCACTAGATTGCTATGGATCACCTTTGGATCCACACCTGACTCCTATTGCACCCCGCCTTCTTCTGCGCTCTCGCCCCCGGCCCCGCCCCCCGCCAGAGGGGTGGACGACTATCTTTCCTGTGAAGATCTTCGCTTGTTGAGTCCGTCGACTGCCTGCGTACGCGTTGACTGTCGGTACGAGATCGTATTGAGGGGATGCAGTCTTCCATGTATGGTACTGCGGTGTCCTGAATATGTTTTATGGACTTCCCACTGGGCCTCTCTAGATTCCTGTACAATCTCAGACAGGGCAGTGGGATTCCCGCAAGACATCGATGTGCCCATGTGGACTTTCCAGCAGCATATACGTCATCTGATGCGCATTCAGGAAGATGGAAGTGCAATATGTCGATCACCACCCGCCTTGACAAAATGCAAACAAACGCTGGGGAATGCACTTGTTCCAGTTATTGCAAGTGGATTGCACACTAAATGCAAGCAGGAGGCAATGCACGATTGTGCGCATGATCCTGGTCACATCACACAAGTCTGCGAGCGCCACACGTGCGCACACCAACATGCGCGGCCCTTCCAGCACCGCGAATGCTCGTGAGCGTCGCGATGATTCAGTATGTGAACACAACCACATGCCTGTCAACGGCTTCCGGGCGTTTCCGTTACAGGAGTGGGGGACGGGAAATGAGATGTGTTACGCTAGGGGGATCAGCAAGCAGCCGCCCATACACCTCCTCTTACGTAGGATGAGGTGTGCTTAAACAGGTCCAATCACTCGTCTTGGCCTGCTGCAGCGTTTGGGCACGTGCAGAACTTGCCAGAGGCGTCGAGAGCTAGCGACTACGGACATTGAAAAGATAGACGGTCCCTCCTCCTCCTCCTCCTCCTCCTCCTCTTCCTCCTCCTCCTTTAACTCGCATGCGAAACCGTCCCCATGGATTTCTCACAACGCACCTTCCCCCAATAAACAGTGCCAGCCCCCTGGGAGCGCCCGCTACTACTGGGCGTCTGGCCACCCATCAACGGGCACCCCCTGGAAATCCCCTTCCTCCTACGCCTCCTTCGGCTCCTCCTCCTCCTCCTCCTCCTCCTCCTCCTCCTTCTCCTCCTCCTCCTCCTCCTCCTCCCCCTCCCTGCTCCTCGTCCTCCCTCAAGGGACAGCAACATACTGATACCGCTACTTCATGGACCTCTTCCGAGGTGCGTTCTGACCAGGATCTCGAGGCGAATCCAGCCGTGGCGACGAGCAAAGGTGTCGGTATCGATCGCTTCTCCGATATCCTTCCCTCTCGCCCCACGAACGGATGGAGAAGGACAGGCAGAAGGAGGAGGGAGGGAAGGGAGGGGAGGAAGGTGAAGGGAGGGGGGGAGGGAAGGGGGGAAGGGAAGGAAAAGGGGAAGGGGGGGAGGGAGGGAAGGGGGGGGGAGGGAGGGGGAGGGGAGGGGGAAGGGGGAGGGAGGGGGAGAGGGAGGGAGGGGGGAGAGGGAGGGAGGGGAGGGG